TTAATTCATTTCACTGGCTCTTGTTATTAGAGTTTTCCAATTTATTGCAATCAGTAAGGCATCCATTCTGAATGACCATTACTGTACTGTTTTTAATCTTAATTTAGGAGCTTTCGTGACTGCAGGAATTATTCTTTGGTTCTTTTCGGTTAAGTCACGTCTAAAAATAAAATAATAATATGTTATTTTAATTTTTTATTTTATTTTTAGACGTGACTTAACCGAAAAGAACCAAAAAATAATGTACTGTTTTTCTTCAGTTTGGCCAATAGAAACGATGATGGCCCCGCAAAGAGCATGCCATACTCTCATGGTCATAGATGTAATCACATGGAGATCACTCGAATTTAAGGTGCTCTAAACAAGGTGCTCAAGAGAGTCTTGTTATCATCTTGTGCTTTGATTAAACGCCACAACGTGCCATCAACCCATGCCACGCTACATTCCCCCCTGTGGACTCAACATCAGTACGCAGTTTAGAGATTAAATCTCAAGAGCACAGCGGAAATTATGAAAACGAAAATGTCCATCACTCAATTACCCGTAATGGGCACGCCTGACATCAGAGTGAGGTGCCGTAACCGTCAGCTCAAGAGCACTTCCATAATTTGAGGGCGTTAGAAACAAGGGCTTCTGCTCCCACATGAGCTGATCTGCAATCTGTTTTTCATAGAGCAACAGTCTTGTACCAATGTAAATTATATTTTCAAAACAAAGAACTCACATTTTCCATTAACACTGCCTAAAGAATAATACAAAACAGACTAACATTTCAGAAAATTACCATATTTCAAGATAGATGGCAGGAATATTGACGGACAGTTGGAGATGACACTTTATACTGCGGTTCTTTAAAAATGTTTAAGAAACCTGACGTATAAACACTCTTTATGTACTGTCGTGGAGGATTATGGGTGCTAAAATAAATGCATTTCAACCATGACGCAGGTATACAATGGCCTACTTTTGGGAATTACTTCATAGGAACTTTTAACGTCCACTGTGAAGTCCAACATCTTGGCCGCTACTTCCTCATGCAAAATGTGAGGAGGCGCCATATTACTCAGCACCGGCAGCCAAGGTAGTCGAATGGGTCGTAGCTACATCCCTGTGATGGTGCGCAAAGTTGACATTGGATGTCAACCAGCTTTGTGTGTGAAAGGCAGAAGGTGACAGCAGCTGTGCGAAGCGTCATATAATATAATCAATGCGAATAAATAATGGCGTATTCTTACAATGACAATGTATGTTTAAAAAAAACTCCCAAACAAATGTACACGTGCTGTCAATGTTAATTGAATTTCTACTTTCCCGTTACCTAATGGCTGGTTGTTTTGCTTTAGTTATCCACTTTGTCAGGTTTTAAGCCTCCCGATTAAAAAGCAGCGTCTCATTCTGTGATTGCTCACACCGCACTCAGTAATAACATGGTAAAATACGGACAAAGCTGGATTCGTGTGAGGTCACACAATGTAAAGTCGAAACTTTAACAAATTAAAACTCCTCACACCACCCAAAGGATCAACCTTCATTCTGCAATGGTCAACAAAAAGTGATCTCACCGTTTTTTTACAGAGTACGGACATCAGAAGTTTCCAGTGAGGTAAGTGAAAACATAAAGGTTGTTCCATACATCATAGAAGTCACATTCACTGTATTATAAATCCTGTTGATGTGAAGGTCTCAAAATCTGGAACAGATCATTTTGCCTTTCACAAGGACTGAAAGATTGAACCCAGAACATCTGCTGTTAACTATTAAATTAGAACAAGGGCCAAGTCTCTTCACTGCTCGATCATTTTGCATTTCTACATGTTTTGTAAACTAAACAAATGTTCAATTGGATACAATACTTAATAATTACATTGTCTCGACATTAGCGTTTTTCACAAGTTGTACCTGTGTTTTAAACTGTCAGTCTTGTCTATATGGTATGCAGCGTATACATTTCACAAACATATTTCATGATTCACCACTGCCATATGACTGTGGGATTTCCATCTGCACAGGGTCTGCACCTAAATGAGCAATGATCCACATTTGGCTCAGTAGAGATTTTCACTAAACTTATTTTTACAAAATGAGTAACATTCATTTAGAGTATTTGACTGCTATTAATCTCCAAATAAGCCAGTTCATTGAGCTGTGTGGGCAAGTCGCTGCTGAAAAAGATCTATACAGCTCAGTGGGCCTCACCTGGTAAAATAAAAAGTAAAATAAAAAGTTTATTTTAGTAATTTATGGTGCAGCGGCGGCACAGCGATTAGCACATTGCACGATGATGACAGCAACCTGAGTTTGATTCCTGGCCATGGCGAACATTAGTGGGGAGTGATATCTAAACCTGGCTTGACCTCACTTTCACCAAACTACGACTAAAGTAATGTGGGGAGGCCTTCATCACGCAGTGAACTGTGAAAGTGCTGTACACATTATATTAAATTTTTTGGTGACATTCATACAATGTTATTTGTACCAGATCTCACTGCAATATAAACCCTTTCTCCATGGGCCCTCACCTACTCTTAAAGGGTTGATTGAATGAACACACATGGTGGCAGTGGGCAAGTGGTGCCTAACTGTAGACTCACTATTTCCATAGCTAACATCAAATTAAATTTTTTATTAACTGGGCGGGTCGGTTTATACTCTGACCGCTAACACAAACCCAATGGAAATATCACATTTCAAGAAATTGATTGGGCTTACATCCAACACTGAATGCGTCTCACTTTAAGTTGTTTTTTACAAGGCAGCATTTATAGTCTCATCAGCCATTGCAAAGTCCCACTATTTGAGTGCACACAACATAGACATATACTTGTGCGTGTACACAGTTTATGATATAATTCTACTGACAGAATATACTTTACATTGAGTTAAAGCTTCCAGAAAAGTATTCTGGTTTTCCAGTTTGTTAAACATTTAATATTTATACATTAATGAAAGCAAAATATGCTGTTTACACGAAGGAAAATATTTTTTTCTGGGGCATTCAAGTATTGGCTTAGAAAAATAATTAACCTTACACACACTTGGTTGCGATGGTTACAATTACAAAAGCCAAAATAGCTTTTTTAAACAAGGTGAGAGTCCATAAAAATGTAATATTTATTTTTTATGATGTAAATAGAGGTTTATTTTCCTATTTTATTTCATTTAACAAATAAAGGGTAGCACACGAGTACAGAAAGGAGCCAGTCTTTAACTTTCTCCTTCTCCTCTGCCGGAATGGGGTTTTCTCTGTACCATAATTCAGTCATAACTCCTGAACCTTTTCTCCACATTGACATTTACAATTCCCTCCCATTCCTGAGCAACCCCATTCTCACATAGTAACAAATGCAAAACGATCTCAATACAAGGTGCTTTGAGCCATGGTGATATTTAAACAAATTCTAAACCCTAACAGTACTGTATTGTGCTCTTACAAATTATTTAACTAACCTCCATTATCTACTCAACCCTCTCAACACCAGTTCTCCCTCATAAAACAAGACTTGTAAAAGAGAATCATGGCCTGAATGAGGACCTAACTTTGTTATAAATAAAGGTGATCGATCTACCTATCTCAACATTACAAGGCAACTGCAAGAGTAAAACCGCAGAGACTCTAAACAAAGCAGTTCAGTGATGCGCATGTCAACTGCAAGCACTACTGCAGCACCAATGACGGATAAACTAGCCTTGTGAACGCAGGATCAAGCACAGTGTGGGGAAGACCCCAATCTGCAAGCTTGTGCCATGGCTAGCCATTAAAACTGAATAATTACAGACATGGGGATAATGGGATGTGTTGGGCTTTCCCTGATCTATATATGTTTTTGTGCCCCTTTCAAAGTAACCAGCCTAAATACGATTGCAGCAATTTTTTTGTAATACCACGATTACGTAGAATGATTATGCCCCTTTAGAGGGATAAGAATACTCCACAAGCATTTGCCAAATGCTCAATTACAAGAAGGCAAAAAGCCAGCCCTGTCAAAAGCAAAGTCCATCATAGCAACTTATCAGGTTCATACCCTCTCTATTATCACAAAAGCTGCCACTTTCAATCTATGCACCACATACATGTTGGATTTGCTATCAGTACTGTAGACCAGACAGAGAGCTCTGATGACATTTCAAAAAAAACGAGACATCAATTACTGCATGGGTGTACTAATGAATGTGTCAAAGTTCACAAAGGTTTATCATTTTTGAGTGTAGACATATTATAAACATTTCGGTTAGCTTTGCGAATTAACAAATCACCTGGAATATGCCTGATCCTGTCAGACCAAAGAAGCTAAGCAGATGTGTTTAGGCTGCACATTGCTTGGATGAGTGACCACCATGCCCAAAAAGTAGGTGTAGTAGGCGGTGTGCAAAAGACAGCAGTGCATAATAAACCATTGTTGTTCTCTACTCCTCCCACCAACCCAAAGACTCGCATGGAGATAAAATAATAATAAAAGAATAAAAATGAAAAGAAAGTGAATAAAAAATAATCTCCTGATGACGATTGCTTTTGTTGCGATCGAAACGTCGTGATATTTTATTTTTTATTCACTTTATTTTCATTTTTATTCTTTTGTTATTATTTTTTCTATCTACGTAACTTAAATAACCATAGAATATGAATTCCTGCAGTCATGAAAGTTTTAAGTCAAAATTCGCATGGAGAAGTATGATCAATTAACCCCACTGCCCACATGGCGTGGGGTAGCCCTCATCCAGCAATGGATTCACAGACTGTCCATGTACACATAGTTAGCTTTACACTGCTGAATCCACCACCCTGATATTGATCCAACACCGACATATTAAAGAACAGGTTACACTTGTGGTGTCTGCTGATATTCGACTACCAAATACACGTCCTTCGTCTCAGTTTAATACCCCAGTCACGGTCTCAAGTAGCCCTTCGACTACGCCAACCCCAAGGCACGCACTTGCAGCGTCGGCAACACAGCAGGGTGGCGCGAAGGCCATATCCGCGTCGTACAAATGCGCCTCACCTCGGGTGTTGGTCGCCATGTCTGCCACCTTTTGAAACGCATCAAGAAACGCCACCACTGCCACCGTCGTCGTCCTGAATCACAGCAACAACCGCGATAAAAAGGAAGGTTCTCTTTCTTCCACTCACAAATTTTGCATGAAGGCAGTGCACCCACTGCCCAATCAAAGTCCTAAACGTAGTATCAAGCATAGTCCAACATCATAGAGAAAAACTTCACACGTGAAGGATTTTAGCAACAAAAAAGAGTCTACAGGAAATGTGCATTGCAACGTTTTACATGTGACCAAAAAACGCATAGGGTGCACAACGCATGGCAACACAAAGAATGCAACATACAGCAGCATGCACCAAAGTAACACAATAAGAACATGTGGTACCGTGCTGCATAAAAATAATTGTTTCTTTATCAGTGGCATTGCACTGAACTAACCGATCAGCCAGCACTGGAAAGGATGGTCAAAAGAAGCCAAGGTTGTGGAGTCATCAACCATTGGTTGATGACTCCACAACCTTGGCTTTGTGTATTAGGGGAGTGAACTGATGCGCGCTGAGAGAATCGGAACCCTTTATATAGGGACACGTGATCCTTATGGCGGTACCCCGGGGTACCAAATAAGACAAAATGGCCGAGGCAATTAAATCATTTCTTTCTGGGACACTATTTTTTTCAGGGGTGTACTTAACTCCTGGACTGGGGTACCAATCAATGCGAAATCAGTGCTACTCCGTGATGTCCAAACGCAGCGAGGACGATTGCGCTGAAATCCTGAATGCTCTAATGCACCATAGTGCATCGTGTACAGCTCGTCGAGATGAGTCGATTGCCACATCGCCGACCATCAACAAGTAAAAATGATTACATCACGGACATTATGCGAGAGCCGGGGTACTGTGGTACCCTAGGGTACAGCCATAAGGTTCATATATGTAACAATGAAAAAGTACAACGTTGGGCCCACTTTATTGTTTGCTGTTCTCTGTTTGTCTACTGAACTGCCACACACATCCTTGTCCGATTGCACAACTGCCAGGATATGCCTGCATAGCACGCATAGCATGCAAGCAGAACGCTTTTTAAAAGTGATGCATTGATTTAACATGATATTAACTGTAAGAATTATTCAAGCTAAAAAGTTACACATGTGATATGGCATTTACAGATGCCAACGCTGCACTTTCTACAGGCTCAAAAGAAATCTCTGTCTCTGGTGTGGACCAATCAGTTTCTAGGACAATGCATATATTATCAGAATATGTTTTTTTTTGTTTGCATTCTGACCACAAGCATTGTGGTTAATGTAGACATGATTCCTTGTAAAAGGTTTCAGTTTGGTGTTTTAACATCTTAACACCTGTTTTGTTGCCAGATGAGAGGGGAAACCCCTATTATCATATTTTGGTACTGGCAAAGGATGTCCCATGATGTTTATACATCATCGATTTACACCAACCCACCACACTTACCACGTGTGAGATTTGTCAATAATCTCTGCCATTAGCATGATGACTATCATTTAACCCTGGGCTGGAACCTAACTCAGGGCTGATGCAACGTGGATGATTATACACCCTGAGCATCTGTTTGCTCTCTACAAAGGCGCTGACCAAATAAACTGAAAAGGTCAGGGCTAAAAATGTCTGATAGGGCACTTTGTACCGTGTAATGTCAATGCATTTCTGACAGACCAAATGTTATGCGATAAGTTGGGTTGTAAAACCTCTCATGCGATTTGTGCTGTATTATGGTATGCAATTTAGCATACTTGGGAATCGATGAAGGGACAGCCACTTAATATAACATGAATCACCACAGTCCACTCCACTTCAGACTTCAACACAGATGACACGACCACACACTGCCTTCTCTCGCACATGTTTGTTCACAGGCACATGGGCACGCTACAGTGTGCCAAAGTAATATGAGCTTGGAAAGCGAGGGACATAACAAAGCCACGATGTTCAAAAGCCACTCTTCACATCGATGGCAGAGTACTCAATAGGCATGGCAGGGCTCGGGTTTCAGTGATGCAAGTGCCCCAGTGGCTGAGGGCCTCACTTGCTACTGGGCTGGGAAACTTGTCAAAAGAAAACCACTTGCCTTTCTGTGTCCAATGTGAGAGGTGCCTCAAAGACTTAATTTTTCAAGGACACTTAACTATTGCCCCAGCTGTACAGAAGCTGCCACTGCAATGGCACCCATCAGTTCAACTACATTTTTACAAGGCATTCCAGGGTGTTTCCATGAAGTAAAACTTAAATATTGTTTCTAACCAATGCAGTTTAATTGAAGCAATAACTTATTAGGTATAGTAGTGTATTTTAAAAGCCTACAGAGGCTAAGTCATAGTTTAATACTGTGGCCGATACAGTAATTTACTTCACTACACTTCACATTAAGTTCTACTAAATTTGCTGCCATGCATCACTTGGCAGGTTTCTTTCCCACTTGGCACTCATAAGCGCCGCTAGATGTTGAAGGGTGCGTATGCGCTCTCACTCACCTCAACTGTGAGTTCAACTTTGTGGCTTTGTTGACGAAATCTTCCCAAACTGGGTAGCTGCCCTGTTTTGAACAAAACATACAGAACAATAAAATAATTGTTAGGCATATGGATAACGGTTTGAAGGGCACAGCACTGCAACTATTTCGCAACGATCTGCGGTTTTGCTGACAGATCTGGTTTCACCGGAAGGCACCTGGAGTTCACACAGAGCTACCTCGACACACCCCCCACGTATTGTAAGAATACCTTTGTGAAGAATATAACAATGGTCTTTTGCCAGTAGTTGTGCAATATAGCAGTCAGTTGCATAGTGTAATCTATAAACCTCTTTTATTGAAACTACTGTGAATTTGCCTATGAATAAATCACCTGGAATGTGCCCGACGTGGTCACATCTTAAGTCAAGCAGGGTGATCACCATATATAGGTGTTAAAGGCACATTGTCGACAGCATAGGGCAGTACAGCAGAATTTTGTACAAGTGTATACTGCCTAAGATGTCTGATTAATATTTGTTTTTCCATCAAGTAAAATGCATGGCCATAAATATTCAGTTCAGCATAAAAAAGTAAAACAGTTCCTTATAACTTCCTTGAATGTGTTTTTTATCAAGGCTCTAGAAAATGGCCAGAACATTTAACCGTTCATGTTTCCATAACCTCCAATGGGTAAAGAAAGTGGAGGGGGGGCTACATGGTGAGCCCTGGAAACTTGCAACCAGGAAAACACCCACGGGGTTTACCCAACAATAAATTACTCGTACAATGAAGTATTCTTGGTCATGTTTCCAACAACGTATGGCCTCAGAGGCACTGCCGTGGTGCTAACAGATTTATTTATCAGTAGCGGAGCCCTGAATTTATAAAAAATGTGAATCTATATAAGGAAGACGCAACCCAAAAACCAAACAGCTATCACTTTGCAGATACACAACGAGGCTGTGTCTCAGACTGTCTTGCATTAGTTGGAAGCTGTATTCATAGTAAAAAACTATAAAATCAGTCTGAGGCACTACAGTGATGTCACTGCGATTCACTCCTGCATTGTTATAAATCATTGCATTGACAACAAAGCTTGGTGACCAATATTTTAAAGTCTCTGTTCGTAAATTATTCCAACTAAAGTAGGACGGCTCAGAATAGACACCGCTTTAAAGAACACGTCTAATGCCACAGCATATACACGCAGGCTATTAATAAGCATGATTATATTCTGTTCAGAAACTAAGGATATGTGTATCTTCAACATGGGAGAGGCAGCTAATTTGTTAGTCATGACAGAATCAGCCAAACCACCAGACTTTGGCATTTAGGAATCAGTCGAAGAGCCCCCAAACATTACTTAGTCCAGAATGGAATACGCAAGTGAATCAAGCCTTCATAATTAGAGGCAGGAAACATGATTTTGTGACCGTCAGCCAATTAAAATTAGAAATGTGGGACACAGCTAATTACACTTCAACATGTGCTTCAGCTTATTGATTTGTTATGCGTTGTGCAAAAACATTGCACAGTCGACCAAATTTATAATATTTGGAAGTGGAAATGCAAGCACACCTGAATTAAAAACAATATTGTGCTATTGTAATTTAGATCACCATGGTTATGTCCTGAGATGAATGACATATGCCTGCAATTGCATGCCACTCTAGCCTTAGCCGCTCTCTATTGTTAACAGACAACACGATATGAGACGTAGGCTTTCGCGACCAATATTATCCATGACTTCTGTAAGTAAAAATATATGTGTCGTTAAACCCGCCACCACCCAACACATCCAATTAGTACGGGTTGTCACGTAAACCTTACTAACTGGCTGCGTCGGGTGGTGGCGCGGGTTTAACGACACATTTATATTTATGCGCTCTAAACCAAAAAACCTCTATTAAGGGCACAACACTATAAAAAATGCAATCCCTTAATCCCATACGAGTCTAAAGAGCCGAATGTAAAAGATATTCAGCCAATCCCAGCTGCTAATAGTAGCGGGGACAGACCAATCAATGTTGCCACTTCCGGAAGGCTTTAACGATAAGCAATGAAAATGGCTCAGTGTCAGGGTTAGTGCCCTTACTGGTAGCAGCCACATAATTCTGATTTCGTGTCAATAAATCATACTAGCAGATGTAGTAGTATTAGCTATGAATAGACCCCTTTATTTAAACCCAGGGGAACGTGGGTTTAATAAGGTGGACTTTGAAGACAAGGCAAATGTCTTAAATCGGTACGTATGTGCTTTGTGACTCGTTTAAGCGGTGTAAAGAGCATTATAAAACAATGGTAATTAATATGGTTTGTATATTTATATGGAATATGGAGAGTAATTGCATGGGGGATCAGTCTGCAGCACTATGATGCTGGTAAGACTAAAAGAACACGAGTGGCCACTGATATCTTAATCTGGCCAGCATTCCGTCCAGGTAGTTTTCAGGTAAAATAAGTATCCAGTGTAGGTTGTAGGTAAAGCACCCTAGCGACAAAGGTGGCATTGTGTGGTGCCAGCCCCACCAATGGCTCCACTCCCCTTGAGTATTATACTGCACTTCAAAGCTATTTTAATATAGAATTTTAACCAAAAGTCTACCTTGACCGGCCAGGCATTCCTTATCTTTATGTATTTTACCAAATAAGTGGATTGATCATGGCTGATGGCAAAGCTCATAAAGGTGGGCTTGCTTATATAATATATTGTTAAGCATGACCACATCAATACTCCATTGAACCACACCAGTATATTATATCGATATCCAAACCGATATCCACTACCCGTATACATTCCACAATGTGGGCACAGCTGGGAGTGGACACCATTTTAAAGTAAAAACAAATCAAACTGGTTGTAAATGTCAACAACAGATTAGGCCAAACCATCAATAACTGCTTGCGTTGTGATCACCTGTGGCCTCATAAAACAACACCGACCGTCAGTTCTGGAACAAACTAACCCCGAATGTTTTTCCCCCTAACGAGCACAACTCCGGGGCTATATCTGGGGACTTACGCAAGTGTTAATATTACACGAAGGATACAGTGAACTTTAATTAAGCAAATTGGACCAAATTATTCTTCATTAAAGTGGTCTTTGGATAAAAAGGTCCTCGGAGGGACACCACAGACTATTATTACATTTGCTCCCAAAATTAAACACAGTTAACTCTAAAGCCAAAAAACCTTAACATACAAAATCCGAACAAAGGCTGTTGTTACCTTTGAATATATTATATAATATTTAAGCTAAGTGTTGAAAATGAGCCCTCTTAAATGTAGCCTGGGGGCAAGATGTCCTTAGCACGAACATTGTCAACATATCCACTCCCAAAAACCGCCAATGTTATACAGCCTGTACATTTAAATCGGCGAACAATACGACAGTATATTTAATCCGAGGGCTGTCAAGTCAATAAAACAACACCGTGTTTAAATACAATAACATTTGGGTACATTTCAATACAAAAACATTTTCTTTTACAAGAAATGGCCATATACATTTGGCCTAAAGCAAGTGACAAAACCTTAGACCTTACAATCTGATTCACCGTTGCCTCGAATAGGGTGGTGTACAAGCTACTCAGGAGGAAACAAAGCTTCAAATACAACGTAGAATTGATAAAGCATAATTAAAGCATAAAAGTTATTTGATTTGTGGCCAAAGCAGGTCCGAATTCTTGGTCTCAGGCTGTATAATCCAAGGCAGGACCATATACTACCATCTTTACTATTGCATTGTAACAGTCGTAAAAACCCCCATGGCATTTAAGCAAATTGCCATCCCATGGTTCACGGTTATAAAATAAACTTTAATTAACAAAGTGGCCAAGATTTGGGCCTGAAACTGTGGCCGATGGCCAATGTGCCCAAAATGTAAACTATTTTTTCTATTGCTTCTAGTCAAGCCAGACATTCCATTTAAATTAAAAACCAAACCATACGTTTAGATTACTCGCCGTGACCTTTATATCAATTCCAAACGGCACAAAAATTAGCCATAATCAATGAAACTGTGCCAAAATGATCGCTCTAGATGTGGCCTGAGGCCGAGATGAACAACTAAGAACAAGAACCCTGATCTGTCTGTCTGCTCCGTCACCCGCGCTTCAGGCGCAGCGACGGTCCAGTTACATTTAAAACGAGACTTTTACAATATGCATCGTGACGTCCACATGAAATGTAAACGCAAATAGAATAAACCTTGATTCGTGAAGTGTTCTTTAAAAGGAGCCTTTAAAGAAACGTGGCATGGAGCGAAACGCGAGCCCTCACGACGACTACCGCCACCTTCGGTTCCATCAAAACATTTGCACTGTACCCATTCTAAAGCAGAAACAACAAATAACGCCTTGAATTAAACATAAAACCGTGGGTGTTCCTTGCGAATATTTCGTTGAGTGTGAAGCTGTTGACATGGCAGGGACCGACCTTCATGTCGTTGATGACGGCTTGGAAGAGACCCTCGAGCGCGCCGCACTGCTTCTCGATCAGTGTCTCCATCGCCCCCGAGCTCAGCTCCGTTCAAGATTCAAGTAATGAGGAATCAAGAACACGAAAATCCCCACAACACGTCTTCCTTCGCCAGCTGTATTGTGCTCCTGCGGCTTAATAGCTGCGGTTTTATTTGAGATGTTTTTGTTGTTTTCGCGATTGAAGCCGCGCGGCAACTTGAGGGTGGCCGCTGTGGCCGCTCGACGGCCAACACTGAACCCCCCCCCCCCACCTCTCAATCCTCTCACAAAAATAAATAAAGAAAATGCGTCGGTTTAATTGTAAACACCGGCGACGTTCCTAATGGAACGCCAGCATGCCTGTTGTGTGTTTTTGTTCTCCCCAGGTTAATGTTGAGGTAATGAATCCGTCCGTGTGGAAACGCGGTGACGAACGCGTCGCTGTGCGGAGAAACCGCGCGCTTTCTGACGCCCCCCCCCTCCTCGTCTAACGCGAGCCGGGGTCACGTGGTGCGCCCTGGGCTGGGCTGCCCCCCCCCCCTCCACCTGCGCACCCCACCCCTTTTGGCTAGCCCCGCCCCCTCAATCGCCTCGCTTCACCAATCGGAGGCTACGCTCACGAGTCACGTGCTCATAAAACCCAACCCCCCCTACCCCACCTTTCTCCCCCTTCTTTACGCTGCAATATAATCCCCGCCTCTTGCTATAACCTCACTCCACCAATCGGACGCTGTACGTTTGGATCACGTGGCTCATATAAATCACGCCTTGACACCCCGCCCTCCTCCTTCGCTCCGCCCATCAACATTTAAGCCACGCCTACTAATCCGTCGTTCCACCAATCGAACGGCAGAATATAGGATTACGTGAGTCACGTGTCCCAAGCCTCTCCCCCCCCTATCCCCCGAGCTCCAACGCAAGCCACGCCTCCCCTCCTCACGCCACCAATCGAGCAACGTGCTCCTGGGTCCCGTGACCCGCGGACCGGGTCCCGCCTTTTAAACTCAATGCGGGGGGGGGGGCTTTTAAATCACGTGGTCTGGAAGCCCCCACCCCTTCGACCCACCCCCCCACCGCAAACTTCGCCCGCAACCCCCCGCCCACTTTGTGTCACGTGGTCCATAAAGGGCGGAATCGCAAGAGACTCCACCCCCCTGTGAAGTGACGTCATTGCTCAATACGTCATCCTTAAGGCGTGGGGTTCTTAGGTTTCTATAGCACGTGTGTGCAAGTGTATACGGGGTTGGTCCCCGTGGCTTGTAATGGGAATAAGACTAATTTAACATTATTAGAGGAGGTGTTAGTTTTTGTTAAATAACACTGCTGGGAGTACATTATTTGGTTATATTGCGTCGGCAGTGATGCAGAAACAAATAACCAAAATCTCAACACATGCTTCAATCCCACTGCCCGAGAAGGAAACAATAGGCGACGTTTCGGGCAATGACCCTGCTCCACATAACCCTTCATGGCACATAAATGTGGTGTGCAAATTACGTTTTTAATTACAGTCATATTTACTAGCGGTCTGCTGCCTGTCCATTGCCTACATTGTATCCATTGATGGAATGGGGCGTCTGAAACAAAATGACTGCAATGCAGTTATTCTGAATTAGTTTCGCCTAATGCAAGGCATATCTGTGTGTTAAATATACAGTAATTGGCCTGCATCCATTGTTCTGTTGTGATGGGTTTTCTCAGTTTAGAGATGTGTATTCTATTCTGAAAGGCACGCAAAGAGAACCAACTCTAGCCTCGACTTGCCATTCTGAATCGTGACAATCGAATCGTTACCTAGAAAATCGGCAGCATTTGTTTTATGGGCGGCACGGTGGCGAGATTTTAACTACCTCGCATGCTATACAGGGGTTGTGGGTTCGATCCCGATTTTGACGCCTGTTGTATATTTAAGAGTTTGCGTGTCTCTCTCCCCGTGGTCGCGAGGATTTTTCTCTGGGTCCTCCGGTTTTTCCCTCCACGTTTAGAATCAAGCCTTTCCAATATTTGGCTGCTATAAATTTCCACATAGGCCACTTAGTTCAGCTATCAATTGTGGCGAGGTCGCTTCTGAAAAAGAGCTCAGTGGGCCTTGGTGAAATAAAATACAAAACAGTAAAGATATTATTTGAAATGTATTTTCTGTTACGGTCGAGTAACGCTCAGTGTAAAAGACTCGCAGGGGAGTTGGTGAGTGACCACATACACCCTCGTGCAGGGAGAATTAAATGTGCATTAGTGAAGACTGCCCGGACACAAATCACAAACCGCAACTCCCATCGTGAACATCATAAACCCACAGACAGGGTCACATAAAGCATTCGACGCCCGTCTCAAAGCCCGTGTCAGTGCAGTAAATGTATATTGTTGCGTCATTGTCTAAAATGTTCACATTTATGTTGAGTATGAATTTCATGGCGCTTTGAGTGGTCAGAAAGGCGCCACCGAGTACGTAAACAAAAATAAAATTGTCTTGACTTTAAAAAGGGGGGATTGTAAGATGCACACTCTTCCAATTATCTTGAGCGCAATTTGGAGTGTGCGTCTTATAATCCGTTGCGTTTAAAACAAAATCCAGAGCATATGGTAATTGTCCAGTACCCACATCCAAGTTCTTGTAAAAAAAGGATATTCTGTATAATATCAAAAATTACTGGAAAAGACGAGTACAATACCGTAATGAACTTTGAATACAGGTGCATGCAGTGAAAATGTAATAGAGTGTAACGGTCGGTGATGCAACCCGGAGGTTCGGAGTAAGGCATTGGCAATTCGTCATTGTAGATATAATCAGGAGACACTAGGGCAGGGGTCGGCAACCAAAATATCAAGTAATTTTCGAATTCAGTAAAAAAGCAACGTGCACAGTGGGTGAGTACGAGACGGTGTGGTCGTGAATAAACACATTACGTCACAAAGCAGTCCTTGAAGAGCCGTATGCGGCTGCAGAACCGCAGGGTTGCCAACCTCCGGCACGAGAGTTTGCCTGCACTTGAATGAAAGCTGCTGAAATGATGCACTCCCAAACGGCTGGCTGATGGTTTGACGAATATTTGAAAGGTACGTGTTATTTGTTTTAATCAGAGGAGGAGGTTGTTTGATGGTTGGGACATGTGGTGCAGGGTGGAGGAGGAGGGCAGATGATTAAGACTGGCATTCAAGTAGTAGTCCTTGGGCCAGACAAGATATCGGTACCACCCACGCTGGCAACACTTCAATGGTGCCGTTTTATTTGTTACACCAACAGAGGTAAACTAATACAGTACATGATAACCTTTCCAAATGAGCAGCTGTTTAATTTTTCTCGCAGGAAACCTGTTTTTGCAACTATCGCAATCACACCTATTTGCCCGGACGTTACAAATAAAACATTCCAACACCTCTGCTGTCTATTAAGACAATAAATAATTTACAAAATGGATGTTTGTCCCCAAGGACAAACTGCTGGAAATAATAGGAAAGCGTTTCCAAGATGCTGGACTCCGAGATCTCTGCATTGAGTCTCGCATGATCACAGAAGGCTTCATTGCAGGCGTTATGGATGGCTGCAAGTGCAACAGGGCAATGCGACTACACAAACTCCTGTATGAGGCTCTCATGCGACTGACATGGAATGGTTTCCTGTCCTGGTTGTAAGCAACTCACATGAGCGACATGGTTCACCTGGATGAGACACTGAGGACCAATGACGACCTTGTGAAAGAAGTTTCACGAGCCGCTTTGAAGGAGGTCCTCGAGAACAGCTCATGTACACGCATCATGGAACACACAGAGCTTGATAATAATAATAATGTAACCTTCTTCACATATACCCATCACTAACGATATATATGGGATTACATGTATCATTGACTAAGTATATGCGAATTCTAATGTTTATAATATTCAAGTAGTTCCTTACCTCACTATGGTATTCCTTATTATCCTGTTGTCATTGTGTATTTAAACAAATAAAGACCAGTTTGTGACCTAACTAGCTTTGGTCTAGGTCGTTTTTCAGTAATAATGCCCATTTCATCGTTCCAGACGCCTCTCATAGGGTGTGGGTATAAAAGTCATGGTAACTACAACTAAGCTGCCACTCCGCAAAGGTTACCATATCAGAATATGTCCCACACACATGGAGGATTACAAAAACCATGACTCGACTTTGCCACCTCAGGTGGTACCAATAAGTGATTCTTTTGGTCTGGGCCCATGCGCGACCGGCGCCACGGTGGCGAGATCTTCAATTCCTCGCCTGGTGTGCAGGACGTTTGTGGGTTCGATCCCAACCCTGACGCCTGTATATTTGGAGTTTGCATCTTCTCCCCATGGTCGCGTAGATTTCTCTCCCGGTCCTCCGGATTTTCCCTCCGCATTTCTAAACGTGCGTTTGGAGTATTTGGCTGCTATAGATTTCCACGTGATAAGCCACTTCATTGGGATATCATTTGTGGCCAGGTCGCTTCTGAAAAAGAGCGATTTAGCTGCGTGGGCTTGACCGACGTGTTGGTTCACTTTAAAGGTACTGCATATTCATCGCAATGGGCCGTCATCAATCAATCCACTGCTGGATGAGGGCCTCCCCAAGCTGCCGCCATCTCTGGCGCTCCTGGGATGAATGAAAACCACTGAGCGCCTGGAAAAGAACTGATATCATTGCTCCGTCTCCATTGTGTATGTGTCCTGAGACGCGTTCCTTTCTTAGGCTGCCATGAATCCGGCCCCCAATGTTTTCAATAAACAGCAAAGGCAGTGATTAGTCTCCTCCGCGAGGTCAAGAATCGTCGCAGGGTTGACTCTTCGTGACCACGTGGCTTCTGGGAAAACAAAAGCATCTGCATGGAAAGCTCCGGAGGCCGGTGGATTAGACGTGATTTCCTTTTTGACGATTTACGCCAACCTTCTGTCGCTAAATCCAGGCTGCGCCGGGTGGCAGGCAGGCAGATGAGCGCCACGGTGCCGAGATGTTAACTACCTCGCCTGGTATGCAGTAGGTTGTGGGTTCGATCCCGACCCTGACGCCTCTATATTTGGAGTTTGCATCTTCTCCCCATGATCGCGTGGATTTTCTCCGGGTCCTCCGGTTTTTTCCTCTCCACAATTCGAATCAACATCACGCGTTTAGAGTATTTGGCTGCTAAATGTTTCCACACGACGATAAGCCACTTCGATAAGCTCTCATTTGTGACAGCCAGCTCGCTTCTGGAAAAGAGCTACAAAGCGCAGTGGACCTTACCTGGTAGAAATAAAAGTAGTTGTATAGTTTAGATGTAACTGTGTTTCAGCAGGAGAACCCAGCGGGTCATGGTTGAAAATGGGCATCGCGGGAGGGACAGCCGACGAGAAACCCAAGACAGAGATGTCGGCCAGGGCTGGGGTCAGGCTTCGGGTCAGGGTTAGGGTCGGCCTGGGAATGGGGAGCACTCACAACAACTTAATTGGGGCACAGCGCGGGCTACACGAGACACGTGAATGTCGGGTGAAGTGGGGGTGCAGCCACTGTGGACGC